AAGGAGCCAGTGATTTCCTTGCTTGGGACCCCTTGTTTGCATCACCTCTTGACTCAACTTCTTCAGCTTCATTAGCTTCATCATCGTCAGGTAAACGAAGCAAAACCAAAGTGATAAAATGTATATGAGAAAGATGTCTTATTTTTAGGAGTATAGTAGCTGCATTTTCCCCTTGATTGATTCCATTTTTTATTGTGTTTAATCATATAAAGTTCTCTTTTTAAGTTTGTCTTCCAATAATAATGAGTTCTATCACTACCACCACCAGTAAAAGAACACTAAAACACTTAAGGATTATATAATAATTATAATCACCTCCTTCAGCAGCTTCTACACACACTATCTGAGGGATGCAGATATAGTATTCATTTTTAAATACTTGTGTAGATAAGTATTGTTATTAGTTTTCCTTATAAAATAATTTTGATTACTGGAAGGAATTGATTTCACACTTTTACTGGGCTCTACTTAAGTCCATTTAGAATGACACTTGGACAGGCCTTCTGACCAGTAATTCCTGTAAAAATGCCTATGCTGGGTTAAACTTATCCACAGCTTAAAATACCAAGTTCAGTTCAGTGCTGGTTTCACTTACATGACCATATCTTTACAATAGCCATTAGTAGCACAGGGAAGTGCTGTAATTATTCAGGTTGGTACACGTTTCTGTCGAGTATGGGTAGCATGAAAAAAAAAAACAGTTATCATTTAAAAGGAGGCAGCAGCCTCTGAATTTAAACTTGATGTCTTCCAGCTTTTGGATGCCTTTCTGGAGCATGCACACATACTTTCATGTGACGTGCTTTCTAATGGTAATTCCTTCCTGTGAGTTTATTTTCCCTCCTACTGCTTCCTGTCATGCCTCCACTCCTTATTGATGACCAAGGAGTTTTAGCTTTGTATTTTATTTTCTCATGTGTTTACATAGGCTGGTTTATGTGTTTTTAATTTTGCACATCTGTGAATGTGGAGAACTTGGCAAATATACTTTTCCTACCCGCAGTTTTTTTCAATGTTTGACTTATAGCACATATTTTTGAGTGGACCAGAGGTTTTGAAAATCATTTTATTTGGAGATAATTTAAGGGCCAGCAGGTGGTATTGTGGCCAGGCCTAATGACCTGAGTTTGATCCCCAGAGCTCATATGGTAGAAAAGAACTGATTTCTGTAGTTGTTCTCTGACCTCCATGCACATGCCCACATATGCACAAAAATAAATTAGTGATTTTGTAATGATAATTTAAATATCTGCCTCTGTAATTCATCCCTACTTTGATTTTATACACACACACATACATATTTATATATTTGAATTTTGATTTTTTTATACTTGAATTTTATTTAATATAATAAAGGTTTGTAAATTAGGGATACTGTTTTTTTTAAGTTATAAAAGTATTGCAGATGGCATTGAAGCAGTGAACACTATTCATATAGAATTTAAGAAGAATGAAGGTATTATGAACATTTTAAAAATAAGTTGTACTGATTTGGTGCTATTTTTAAAAAATTAAAAGCATTTGTAATGCTTTTCATTATTTGAAGAATATTACAATGTGGTTCTATTTAAGTCAGATTGCAAAGTTTAATTAAGGTTAAGTGTGTTTTGACATTCACATTATTTTGAAGGCAGAGCTGGAAAGCCTTGCACTCATATTAGTTAGTCTCTGTGAATTAGATGTGTTGGAGTAAACGACCTTTGAATTTGAATTGGTTTTTTTAATCAAATTAAACCAGATTTAATTTTTATATTTATAAAATAATTGAAACAAGAACAAAATTTCTTTGTGTGTCAGTTTTATTGGAAAGTTTGATTGTTTGCAATAACTTTGATAAAAGGATACCTGATGGGCAGATTTTTTTCACTGATTCAGCAGATCCCCTTAATTATATTAACACAATTGAAGAATGGTCTTTGGATTCTAATAGCTCTTTTGTCTTTATCTAGGATTGCTACATACTAATGATTTTCTTCAAGTTCTCTTTTCTCTCCCTCAGCCAGACCCACAACTCCTCTTTCTATAGGCACCATTGTTCCACCTCCAAGGCCTGCTTCCAGACCAAAGCTTACTTCAGGCAAACTGAGTGGGATTAATGAAATAGTATGTATTCACGTTTTTTAAGTTATATAACTATTTTGGGTTTGTTTGTTTTTGAGACAGGGTCTCAGTGTATGGCCCTGATGCCCTGGTGCTCACCATGTAGGCAGGCTGTCCTCAAACTCACAAAGATTCACCTGCCTCTGCCACCACACCAGTCCCTAAAAATGGTATAATTGTTTTGACTTAAGACAGATATTTTTCTCTATGCCCCTGCTTAGTTAAATGCTTTTTTTCTAAAGTCCTTAAAGAATAGGAAGTTTCTCTACTCACTTCTCTCTTTTATACAGTCTGAAAATTATACTAGAAAAGCAACACACTGCCTAAGAAGACAGAGATTGCCTTTCAAAACGTTGGCATATTACACAAGGGGTGTCCATTGACTCAAAATAGGCAAGTTTGTGTAATTCTGCCTTAGTTTAATATATTAGAAAGAAAATATGGTATGTTTTAGACCTTATTGTTAGGAGATTCTCAGGGGGCATCTGTCTGTTCTAGCTTTATTTTTATACATAGGAGACAAGTCCAAAGCAGTTAGCTGACATAAAAGTACAAATAATAGGAAGCACTGGCTTTCAAAAGCCATCAGTAATGGCAGAAACACCTGTGGTCTCTACTTGGGTGAGTCCCAAGCCAGCCTTTGTGCCTCTGTGTTCTCTCTTTTGTTTCATCTTTCACACTCCTTGCTGTTTAATCACCGTAGTTACATTTCTGAAAGCCAAGCTTATTTTATTTTCTTTCTTCTTGGGTATTTTAGCTGAATGTAGAAGATACTTTATAAAGTTGCCTCAGTAGCCTGCGTCACATCCCAGCCCCCCTTTCCTATCTTTCCAGCCACTCAAACTTTCAGCTATTCTCCGAACACTATATGCTGTGTTTTTTCTTTTGTGTTCTTCTAAGGAGATAGGAATAGGATTGAACTAGGAATAGGATTGAACTTTGGGCCTCATCATGACACTTATACCCTCACACTACCATTGAGCTTGTTCATGCTATTTGATACATCCATGTTTTATTGTACTTCTTTGTTTGAAGTGACGGTTTTCTCTGAGGCAAAAATGGCTTTTTTCTTTAAGACCTAGCTATCCATCAGCTGCCTGGTGGTTATTCTTCCAGCAGATTGTATTGTTCTCTGTGGGCTGCCATACACTTGGCTTGTAGTTCTGTTAATGACTGTGCATATTACACTATGTAGACTTAGTATCTGTTCCCTCTTCTGGATTATGTATTAGTTTTTCATGTTCACATTGAATAAAACCCAGTACATAGATTGGAAATGTACTTTGAATGGAGGGCCACTTTAAAATGGTAGCCTCTTTCATTTCTTGTCCCCGTGAACTGACTTACTGAAAATGAGAGAAGACTAGATGTATGCTACCAAGGAGATAGCTATAATTTAAATAATATAAGAATCACTAAGTTTGTTTCTCTGTCTGTCTGTCTATTCATTCATTTATGTATTTTTGAGACAGGGATTCTCTGTGTAGCACTAGCATTCAGGAACTCACTCTGTAGACTAGGTTGGCCTTGAACTCAAGAGATTCACCTGCCTCCAACTCCCAAGTGCTGGGATTAAAGTGCTTGACTAGAATCACTAAGTCTTAACTTTCTTTTTTATTATTATAAAACTTGGTTTGTTTGCCTTTTTTTTTTTAGCCTCTAAACATGTTAGAAAATTTAGAAAACACAGAAAAATATGGATCCCATGTATTACCAAAGATAACTGAGTTAACAATTTAATATATAGCCTTTCATTGTTTTCCTAATGCATAAATATTTGATCAAAGATGGTAGATTAACAGTTACTATAAGGACAGGCCTATTAGCTGTTCAGTGTTAGACAAGTTTTAGTAAGATGCCTAGGGAAGATGAAAATAATTGATTTTGTAAGATTTAAGTGACTTTAACATATATAAAACTGTAAGGATGTTGTATACAGGTGATTGATTGCTCAAAAAGCTATGAAGCATATATATGTTTTACATATTTTTCTTGTTTTTACTTTAAAGTATTTTGGAATTGTCTTTATTGTGAATTCTTTATAGTCTTCAAGCTTCTTTAAAAGTAGTAGAATCCTGTGTCAAGTAATTAAAATCATTAAAAGTGAATTCATAGTTGAATAGTTCTATCAACTTTCTTCCTTGAGATCCTTCTTGAAACTACTTCAGGGACTTCAGGAAGCAATATGTCAAGTAGCTATAGAGTATTTCATTGTTTAAGTCTACATTGTAGAATTAAAGTCCTAAAGATTTTAGAAATTTGATAATTCTAAGTTCTTGTTAATATAGTAACTTAGTATAGCTATGCTTTGTAGACATTTCAGTATTTCCTTATTAAGTGATTTTTACAATGAAATTCTTGAACTAAATGGTATACACGTTTATTTTAGACCCTTAGAGAATCAATACCCTTATCTGGCTCCCACATACCAATTTCCTGTAAACATAGTAAATAGTAAAACTTAGAAAACAAACAAACATGAAAATATGCCTTTCTAAATTTGTATTAACTAGACCGTTTACAACTTGTGTTTCCTTATTCTATGACTATTGATGACAGACTACAGAGAACTAATCTCATATTTATAGAAATTATCGTGTACATAATCTCTGGAAGGCTGTTCGATAGTAGATACGAAGGACTTTCATTCAGTTCTGAGTACCTTATTATGTCTAATTTTTGAAATGCAGAAAATATTTTATGCCCCAAACCTTGAAACCATTGTTTTAAAATAGCCATATCAGGTTTCAGTATATTATTGGAAGTGATTTGACATAATATCGAATACATAGGTAAAAAAAACTCATGGTAAAGTTATTTGATTTGTTATGACTTAAAAAATTTCTCTGACAAAGAAAATTTTGCCTTAGCATTTTGATAAATAACTGTTTGTTTTTAAGCCCAGGCCATTCAGCCCACCTGTAACTTCCAACACCAGCCCACCCCCTACCGCTCCCTTAGCCCGGGCAGAGAGTTCTTCTTCTATCTCTTCATCTGCCTCACTGAGTGCTGCCAATACTCCAACAGTAGGTAAGTGGCTGTTGTTGGTTATGAAAGTCAGCATACAAAGGGTACATTTACACACACACTCACATTCAGACACTTTTTTTCCTCTTCTCCTCTAGTGGGAAGTAAAGAATTTAAAATTGGAAATTTTGTGTTTCTGGACATAACTTGTAAAACTGACCACATTTTCTATTCTATTTTAGTCCTTATTTTCTGAGTAGGAGTATTTTAACTATAGCTGAAACTATTGAGAATTGTCAGTTTGTAAACTGTTGGTCAGTATACATGTTAAGGGAATATTGTACAATAGCAGTCAATTCTACTTTGAACTGACATTTTCATTCTTTAAAAAAGTTTGTGCTTTGGGGGCAGGAGAGGTGGTTCACTGCTTAGAGTGCCTAACTGCTCTAGTAGAGAAATGGAACTTCCATCTACATGCCAGTGCACAGCTGCCTGTAACTCCATTTCTGGAGGATCCTGACAGAGTCCGATTAATTTACCAATGTTGTACATATACATACACTTACACACGCACTAAATAAAATAATTAAATAATTTTTTTTAAAAAGAAAGTTTGTGTTTGAAAATAATTTCTTGAAACTTTTTATTCAGTGAAAGTGTTGGGGGCTTATGGTGATCTATTTATATCTAAAGGAATATATTACAAATATTAAAAGTAATTATTAGACTGAAATTATTTATATAACCTAAACCTTCTTAAACAAAAGCAGTGTTTTACAGCAGCTATAAATTACTCACGAATTTTTTTAGCTTATTGCCTTGATCAGGATTTTTATATGTTCTCATCCCCCCTCTTTTTTTTTTTTTTTTAAAGATTTATGTATTATGTATACACTGTTCTGCCTACATGTTATGCCTGTGTGCCTGAAGAGGGCACCAGATCTCATTATGCATGGGTGTGAGCCATCATGTGGTTTCTCGGAATTGAACTCATGATCTCTAGCAAAGAAACCAGTGCTCTTAACCTCAGAGCCATCTCTCCAGCCTTCTCTCTCTCTTTAATTTCTTTAAAATTATTTTTCTAATTCATATCACTGTTAAGAACAAACATAACCCCAGCTGTTTCAGGTGCAACTGTTTCCATCACAGTTAAAGCTGGTCCTTTTGCTTCTGCTGGTATTGGTTCTACAACATCTATGCCATCTGGGTACTAAGAGAAATGTAGACATTTAAAGTCAGACACTCCAGGAGTGGGACCAAGCTTTTACATGCTTTTCAGGTGATTGTGATACATGCTGCTTGTGAGTGATAACTATAATTAAGCTAATTTAATTAAATCCATTTTAATTTGTCCTAGCTTACTTATAAGAAATGCATCTTGTCTGTTTGACAGTTATAAAAATAGCATAAGTAGTGTAGGCTAGAAGAAAATGTAAATGGTTTGATTTCTAAATGTTCCAGTCTGACACTACCATCTTATTTCACACTGCATTTTACATAGCATTTTTGTGTTTTAAATTTATGTAATTGAGGATAACTAATAATTATTTTCTTTTAATGAACAACCTTATTTTTGTTTGTGTGTGTGGTTTTCTTAATTTTATTTCCACAAAATCTATACTTCTAGGAATAGATTGGTCCTACTGGAAATTTATCATGTAGCTTGAATAACCAAAATAAACTTCAGTTTTTTCATTGCCTATGGGGATATCCAGCTCTTTGACATCTACACGATACTGTGATCTATAAACGTGTTGGGCTGTGTGTGCATTTGTCCTGGGATGCATGCAGTTCGTTTGATGTGCATGTTTCAGACGGTTTTCTTTTATGATGGCAATGCTAAGTTGATTTTGATTGAGCTGGTATGTGTTTGTTTATTGTTTTAGTTCCTAATGTCGGCAATAGGAGATCCAGTGGCAAGTGGCAGAGATGATGTAGGCAAAGCAGATGGATACTGAGTTTTTACACCAGACGGTCTTCAGTTCACCTAAACAGTTCTTTGTTTGTTTGTTAGGATTATTAAGCTTTATTTAGATTTGAGGTTGTTGTTTTGAAATTTCTTCTTTCTTGAAAATGTTTTCTTTCCCTGCAATGTTTTATCTTATTTAAATGTGATAGAAGACCATAATTTGATTGGGACACTCTCTGAAATTGAAAAGCACAGTGAGACATCACCAGGTATTGTATCAGAAGCAAGTATTCATGTAACTAATGCTTCTAAAGCTGTCTAAAATGTTTCACTTATTTTTTTCTTTCCAGCAATGTATGGTGTGTCAGCAGTCAAAAATAACCCTAATATTAACTATCTCAGTTTTGTGCTAATAATTATGTCCAGTCACTGTATGAGACCAGATCCTTACTTAGAAAAATGCATACTGTTTTTACATTTCTTCCATTCTGCCTAGGCATTAAAAAAAAAATCAATAGACTGGAACTCTCAAGGGGTCAGAATAGAGTGATTAGAAAAGAAACAAAACATGTCAGCTTTAAAAATGTTATAAAAATGGCTGGAGATTTGGCTCAGTGGTTTAGAGCACTGGCTGCTCTTGCTTTCAATTCCCAGCACCCACTTGGTGACTCACAACTAAACAGGCATACACATGCAGGCAAAACACCCACACATATAAATTAAAAAAATAAGTATTAAAAAATTAAATTATAATACTTATACTGTGAGAGCAAAGGCCACATGGGTACGGTGTTGAAAGAAATTATGTATGAATGAATTTGTTGAAGAAAGGTACTCTGTATCCTGTTTATCCTAGATACTCAGACTCTTTGTTTTTAGAACTTAAAGCTATCTAAATATGTAGCATTTAAACCAAAATTGGAAATGAAAATATTATGAAGACTACAAGTTGTTTTCACTTCTAAAATCTTTAAATAAAAATATAGAATATTTCCTTTATAAGTTTACCTTGGATGCTCAGACTCTGTATTTTCAGACCTTAAAGCTATCTAAATATGTAGCAGTTAAACCAAATTGGAAATGAAAATGTCCTTGTTAAAGGTACAAATTGTTTTCACTTTGAAAAAATGCTTAAAGATAAGCTTATTGTTGTAGACAGATAAATATTTCCTTTATAAGTTCATTATTTTGAAGTCTACATGCGCAATATAGTTTTGAAAGAAAATTAGATAACACAAATGTGAATGTACCAAATGGTAAGGTGGTTTTGAGTCAATCTTCTAACTCTTTGCTTGCCAGTATTTCATAAGAAGCATGACAGTTTATAGGGAAATTAGTTCAAGAATTCTGATCATATGAACAAATTGGAAAATTGAAATGATTAACTGACTTGGTAATTTTTTTTTAGTTTAGTATTATTGAACAAATATGGGGCTTTGTAGCTGTTTATCAATTGCTCTGTCATTGAGCACCCGTATTTTTATTTTATGTGCATTGGTGTTTTACCATGGGTGCCATCAGATCCTCTGGAACTGGAGTTGCACACAGTTGTGAGCTGCCATGTGGGTGCTAGGACTTGAACCTAAATCCTCTGGAAGAGCAGTCAGAGCTCTTAACCTCCAAGCCATCTCTACAGCCCTGGGGATTAGTTTTTACAACCTTCAATGATACAAAATAATTCATGGATGCTCAAGTCCCTTATATAAAATGACATTGTGTTTTTATGTAGCCTGTATACATCCTTCTGTCTACTTACAGTAGCAAGAAGGTGAAAAATTAATATGTGTGTGTCATGGAAGATTGTTTAGTCTTAGGAAGAGAATTTTGACATTGCAACATAAATAAGCATTCAGTACATCGTGATATTAAGTATTATTTGATCCTACCTTGTAGCACAAGCTCTAATTGGTTTTAATAATAAAAGCGCCGAAACAGATGTTAGGGGGTGAAAGCTGAGCTATCAGAGAAGCAGTGCAACCAGCCTTTCGAGAGACTTTTTACATCTACAAATAAATGTTCAGACCAAAAGTGTGACCCTGTCCTTGGACTTGTATCCTCTGACCGCATCTGCGCTCCTGTCTTCTCCTTCCTTATATTCCTTTCTCTGCCCAGCCATATCCTTTCTTGTCTCCAACTCCCTAGTGCTGGAATTAAAGGTGTGAGCCACCACCCCCTGGCCTGATGCCTGACTAGTATGGCTAGCTCTCCACCCTGATCTTCAGGCAAGCTTTGTTAAAACACAAAGTATTGCTTTATTTCCCCTTTTTGTCTAAAATAAAAAGGTTATAGCTAATATAAGAAAAACTGTATACAGTAAGTACAATAACTATGTGTAATATATACAGGCAATAAATACATCAACAGTGTCTAGTCCATTTGCATTTGACAAATTCAGAGAAAATACTTCATTATCTATCCTATCTTGGTGAGTCCAAAGATACCTAATTCACTTTCTATCCTGTCTTGCATTACCAACTCAAAATTACCTTTTATGTCTCTCGACCTTATATACTTTACATTTCTTTTGTGACTTTTTAAAATTTTTTTTGAAGATTTATTTATTATTTGTACAGTGATCTGTCTGCATGTATGCTTGCACACCAGAAGAGGACACCAGATCTCATTACAGATGGTTGTGAGCCACCATGTGGTTGCTGGGAATTTACTCAGGACCTTTGGGAGAGCAGCTAGTACTCAAAACCTCTGGGCTATCTCTCCAGACCGTGATTTTTTTTTTTTTTTTAAATCTGAGTTTGGTAAACAAGGAAAATCATAATTATCTAGTCTTCAACTTCCTCAAAGACCTGAGAAGGAAATAATAAGTGAGAAAGCACGAAGTGCAAGCAAAAGACTTCCAGAAATGTTAGAAATGACAGAAACAGCTGGCTGCCTGGTCAGTCACCCAAGATTCCTCTCCAACGTTGGCCTAAAGGCTTAGAATATTTAACAGACTTTTCTATGAAGCAGGATTTTTGGATGATGGTCCTACCGTGTCTTGACAAGGTTTGTAGTCACTCTTTTTTATGTCCTGCTTGTCCAATTAGGGCAGCATGCTCTCAGCAGTTGAGGCAAGAGCATTTTCTTGCCCAGTGGCTTACTTTTGCCACAAAGAAAGTAAGCTTCATGTGGCGTTTCTTCGATGCCCATTATCTTCTCTGAAGTAGATTGATGTTTCCAGGAGTAGGCATGTCTCATTGTCATAAAAAAAAAAAAAAAAGAACCTATGTTATTAAAACATCTTAAATCCCTTGCTGTAGATCTGAAGTACTTTAAGATGAAAACCTAGGTTGGCAACAATTGGGAAGTTTCATTGGAAAGAGTTGGATGTTATTTCCTATTTTTGATCCATAAACCGTCTCACTAATGCTCTCTGTAATTTATAATTCAACACTTGAGCTGAGGGTTTTGTTTTTTCTTTTTGTTACTACAAAAACATCTTTCTGTATGAAAGTATAATTAATATGGTTCAGATACATGAGAATTGATGAAGGCAAGTAATCATACTTTTTATATGGTTGCTGTGTGTGTATGTATATATACACACATTGTTTTAAATCTAATAAAATTAGGGACAGTGAGCAAAAAAACCAACAACACCACCAACAGCAAATTAAAAAACCTATGCTATTAGAACATCTTAAATGCCATATTCTATAGATCTCTCAAGTGTTTGAAGACAATGTCTATTTAAAATATATCTCTTCGATCTTGTAACATACCTAATGTGACTACCAAGTTTGATTGTAATAGGTGATTACTAACCTACATTTCCTTATTCTAAGTAGTTGGTAATAATAACTTTCAAGGGCTAGAAATTTGTATTATATTGTTAAATGAGCTGTATAGGCACAGTACCTTGAGCAAGATTAGAAAGGTATGTGCAGTATGTTCTAACAAAATTAATCTCGTTTGTATCATTATACAAAAGTCCAATCTAGTGTAAAATATTTAAAGATAGTAGTTTATTTTTAAAGGTAGATTCAATAATTTACCTTTTTGTTTTATATCAATATCCTCCCTTTTTTCTTTTCAGAGTAGATTCAATAATCTACCCTTTTATCCTGTCATATCCCCCTTCTTATCAAAACAAGAACTCTGAATCTAATCTCTAATCTTTCCTGACCATTACCAGTAACAACTTGTAACCAATCCCCCTAAACAATGACAAATATCCATAACTCATTGAACAACCAAAAACTACCCACCCACCTCTTGGAAATGTGGGCATCGTGTTCGTAAATTTACTTTCTGCTGTCTTGGGGGCAACGACATCTTTAGGGGACCCTGAAAAGAAAATTTTGGGTTAATTGTCAAGTCTTGGGAGACATAGCTGTATATTGTCCAGTCTCTGTGCAATGGGAAAGTAGATTAAAAAGACATGAGATGTGCCCTGCCACTCCTGAGTTTAATGCTCTGCTCCCAAACTGGTGACAGTGTTTTGGAAGATTTTGCATGTTAATGTAAAGTGTCTAGGACCTACATAAATAAGAAAGTCATAGCCTTTGAAGGTTATGTCTGCTCCCCTATACCTTTCTCTTTCCTTGCTTCCTGTCATCCTCCAGCGTTTGCTTTTGTCACCATGATACTCTGCAGAAGCATATGAGGACAACCACTAGGAACTAAGTCCAGTGACTTAGCCGTGAGCCAGTATAAATAACTGTTCTTTTTGAGTTGTGCCAGGTGTTTGGCTCTAGTGATAATAAACTAGTTAAAGGTAGTTTAACATCTAAGTTTAGTTCACAGATTTGTTCAGAATTTTATTATGCTTTTAAAATTCCCAAACTGTATTTGCCTATTTATTTGTTTACTTATTTTGATTTTTCAAGACAGGGTTTCTATGTGTAGCTTTGGAGACTGTCCTAGAACTTACTCTGTAGACTAGGCTGGCCTCTTGAGTGCTGGGATTAAAAAGGCATGTGCTGCCAGCCTAAAATTCCAATAGGATACGGTTAAGATGGTGTTTTGTCTAAATGAAAATAAATCAATTTTTAAAATAATTATGTTATTCAGGCAAAGTAATATGGGACTGCAATACCAGATGAACACCTGCAGTCTAGAAATTCAAAATCTCAAAATTCAGAACTTTGGTAATAATTCTCAAAGTTTGATTTTTTGGAACATTTTAGAATTGGGGCTTCTATTACGGATAAGGGGGTGGATAAAGATGCAAATACATGAAATGCTACATGAAATAGTTAAAAATCTGAAAGATATCTAACCCCAACTGTTACATAACTAAGGTTATATAAGCATCAAAGAGGAATTTAGAGAATTATAGTAATAAGTAGTATATGAACTATTATTATTTGAGAACGTAAAGACAAAATTCAAATATCATGCCGTGAAATGACTAGCCTGTGACTAATAAAAAAATGTTTATATCTGAAGGGTTTTGGAGGCCACAGTAGTTATTTTAACTCTTTGTTTCAATGACTTTTACTTTTTGACTTTCCCTAACCATCCTGTGTATCTCTTTCCATTTAAAAGTAAGTTTGTTCCAGACATGTGTGTGTGAGTGTGATTCACATTATGTTCTAATTCGTTTTATGATGTCTTTCTTAACCTCTAGGTTTATACTTGCAGCATCAATGAAACCAGTAATAAGGTCTTTTGTGACAACCTAACATCAATCTGTCGTGGTATTTATGGTATGAATCTTAGTATTTGGTGTATGTCTAGAATGATTTAACAGATTAATTATGTCTATTCTAGGAGTGTCACGGGGTCCCAGCCCAGTCAGTCTTGGAAACCAGGACACTTTACCTGTGGCCATCGCCCTTACAGAATCCGTCAATGCTTACTTTAAAGGAGCAGATCCTACCAAGTTAGTTTTAAATATATACATATGCACTTGTGTTTGGGGGTGGGCACTATTCTAAAGAGATGTAGAAGAGGTGTTTGGGTCCTTGTAGAATTGGTTTAGCATCTTGCTTTTGAGAAAAGTTATATCTGCTTTAAGGTTTTATTTTTGTTTTATGTGTGTATATTCTCTGCATGCATGTATACAGGCCATATGCATGCCTGTTACCCACAAGGCTGGAAGAGGGTATTAGAGCTCCTGGAACTGAAGTGAGTTTCCTAGTATGGATGCTAAGAGCTGAAGTTGGGTCAACTTTAAGAGCAGCAAGCATTCTTACCCACCAAGCTACTTAAATAATATTCAACATATATTCATTCACTAAGTACTTATTATGTGTAAGACTCTTTTTGGTTATTTTTAAAACAGGGTCCCTATGTATCCTTGGCTGGCCTGGAACTTAACAGAAATTCACCTGCCTCTGCCTCCAAAGTGCTGGGATTAAAGGCGTACACCATCATGCCCAGTAAGACTCTGAATAAATACTAAGGCTACTTCACTTCAGAGAACAGAGGTCTTCTGACCATGCATTATAGTAAAGAAAACACAAGAGGAGCAAATAGTTGTGTACTCATACATGTTATTGAAAAGGGAGGTGTGAGAGGGTGGGAAATTACAGTAGGGGAAAAAGACTCTCAGAGGGTTTAAGCAGATACTTGGAAAGTATGGTGGAGCAAGCCATTCACATATCTAGGAGAATAAGACCCTGGGACAAGGGCACTGTGGTAGAATCCAGGGGAATGGCATGCTTGGTGTATTTGGGGGTGCGGAGTGAAACATGTCTCTGAATAGGATAAAATAGGAGTGTGGTTGAGGATGCATCCAGAGAGGTACCAGATCAGATTGGGCATTGTAGGCCGTGATAAATTGGGAATTCATTTTTAATAAGATAAGCCAAGTGGATCCCATGAGTTGAGAGGTGATAAGGTCATTTGTGTTTTTTGTAGTGTTTTGACAGCTTTGGAGGTGGGGAGGGAGTGAGGGAGTGGGAGAGATTAGCAGAAGAAAGCCAGATAAGAGATGATGGTGAATAAGTATATTATTAGCAGGGAAGGTGGTAAGTGTTGGTGATATTCTAAATGTATTTGAAAGCAGTTATCAAGATTTCTTGAGAGAATAGAATGCCAAATTTGAGGTACTTGTTAAGTGTTGTTAATGTACACAAGTTGTTAGCTATGTACATGATTCTGGAGCTCACTGAGTAAGTGTAGACTTGAGATAAAATATTTGGTGTTCTTGGTTTGTATGTAATATACGAAGTTGGGGTTTTAAGAAGTAGACAGAAGAAAAGATCAGAGAACCAAGTCTTGATTCTGTGTTGAAAACATGAAGACCAGAATAACCAAGCATAGGAACTAGATGGAGATCAGAAGCAGCAAGAGAAGGACAGAACCAGTTGAGCAGTGTCTACAAACTAAAAGTCGTTTCATGAAGGAAGGTACGACAAATTCCTTATGCTGCCATTGGCATTGACAGTATAGAAGTCACTAGTGACCTTCAAGCATGTAATTGTAGTGACGTGGTGAAGATTTTGTGAGGCTGCTGGAGTGCAGGAACAGGCAACTGTTTGGAGAAAACAAATATAGGTAATTCTTTGGATGTTTTACTGAGGGGAAGCTGAGAGATGGAATAGTGGCAAGGACAAAGGAATTTTAGTTTTAATATGTTGACTTAAAGATGATAGATAGAGCTGTGTGTGGTAACCCACACCGGTAATTTCACTTGGAAACGGGAGGCAAGAGGATCAAGAGTTAAGGGTCATCCTCAGTTACTTAGTGAGTTCAAGGCCATCTTCACCTTTGTGAAAGCCTGTCTCAGTTTTTTTTCTTTTCTTTTTCCTTTTTTCTTTTTTTAAACGTTAGGGACCAGGGAGATGACTTAACTTGATAAAGTGCCTGCACAAGCATGAAGACTGAGGACCTGAAATTCAGATCTCCAACATCCACATAAAAGCTGGGTGTGGAAGTTGGGAGGGAGTAGTGCATCTGACAAGAATTAGGAGGAAGAGTAAAGGGTGAATATGATCAAATACATTGTATGTGTCTATGAGGTTCGCAAAAGAGTAGTAAAAATACTACATTAAAGAGAAAGGCCTGGTATGGCTGCACACATGAGCTCCAGATTTAGTGAGAAAGGCCTTGAAAAAATCAGGTGGTGAGCAATCAAGGAGGAAATCTGATAACAACCTCTGGCCTCCGCAGGCCAACCTGCCCATGCGAACAAATCTTCCATTGAAACAGGAATGGTGCATGATAGATATAGGTTTGGCAGATTATGAGTTCAGTAGTGAAAAGAGAAAATCCTTTTCTGATTTTACTTCTTCATTAAAAATAACATAATCACCTACGTCTAGGGTGAAGAAATATGCTGTAAGAGGAGAAACAGAAGCTATGAGAAGACAGAGGAGCGAGTAACTAGACAAGATAGAATGGCCAGCCAGGGCATGCTAAGGGAGCAGATGGAAGGCTTGGCCATGCAGTTTAGTTTTCTCTAGTCACATTCAGCTATTCGTTTGTGGGAGGGAAACTAGGTTTAGTCAAGTCTTCTTGTTCAGCTGATAGGTTAGCAAAAACATAAAGGAGCATATCTAATGAGGAACCTGGAAAATCAACGATAAGGAATGTAAGGATATGAAGTTAGGAAGTGAGGTAGCATGGTGAGGAACTAAATTGTGCTACTAGATGGAATGACTCAGAAAAATGAGAGTCTGGGTCGATAAGTGCTCGTTGTGCAACAGGTTGTTGAGGACCGTGGCTGAGGACAGCTAAAGGACAGAGCCCCTGGAAGAGACAGGTGAAGAACTAGGTGACCAAGGATATTAAAAGGACCATCTGGATAGATATTGAACTTAATAAAAATTATGCTAGAAATAGTGGTGCAGAGATAAGAATAGTGGTGAGTCAGGAACTCAGGATTTCAGGAAAAGAAAAGGGACCATTGGAGATGATCTGAAGAGGATAGAGTCTGAGCAATACAGTGTGAATCAAGTTTCAGAGGAAGAAGCAATGAAAAGAAGAGCAGCCATTACCAATCCTAGGGGTTCAGAGGTCTTAAGAGAAGAAAGTAACTGTAACTGGTTACTGATGCTATTACTAGGGAAGCACTGCCCACACAGGTCTTTGAAGGACAGCTACCACACACAAAGAACTGTGCTTATGTGTAATAGCAGGAGTACGCCATTACTGTTTTCTATGTTTAGTCTGTAATTTTAAGAAAGGATATAATGCATGTCTATATGAGCAGATGCACAGCTGTATGTATATGCATACATACATACACTTTTTAAAACCAAGCATACTTTTGAGAAGGCATTATTTAAGCACTTGTCCATGTCCTCCAATGTCAGGTGTATTGTGAAGATCACTGGAGATGTGACAATATCATTTCCAAGTGGAATTATTAAAGTCTTCACAAGCAACCCCTCTCCGGCTGTGCTGTGCTTTCGAGTGAAAAACATCAGCAGACTCGAGCAAATTCTTCCAAATTCACAGCTTGTGTTCAGGTTTGTGTTGTGCTTTGCTTTTAAGATTAAGATTGAAGTTTCTTTTTAAGAAATGTTTTTTTCTTTATGAAATAATGTTGATTGAAGACAATGCCAAAATTATTTATTGCAGTTAAGCAGCTTTGTGCCTTCCTTTTCTTTGTTTTGATGCTAGTGCTAGTTACTTTTCAGGGAACCTTTTCCCTGTTCCGTTCTTCATCTTCTAATCTTGGTTTTCCCTCATCCCACATTTTGACTGTTTCTAATAGTCTTTCCCAGCTCACCAACTGACTAAATAAAGGAAGGAAAAAGATAAGACAAATGAAATAACAAAAATGTTTCTTATACATACAGTGATCCATCACAGTGTGATTCCAACACAAAAGATTTTTGGATGAACATGCAAGCTGTTACTGTCTACCTCAAGAAGCTATCAGAGCAAAATCCAGCTGCTTCTTACTATAATGTAGATGTATTGAAGTATCAGGTGAGTGTCCTATCACTGTGAAAACCTTAAATTTACAGATGAACAAATGGAATTTGGCAGAACTCTAAATGAGTAAATATGTAGCCAAATGAGGTCCATTCCAAGAATGCAAGATTATTTTGGAATTTGAAACTCCTTTAGTAAGTTCATGACTATTTTAGCCAAAATGATAGTGTTTACCATCTGTTTTTTTACTCAACCACTGAGCAAATGTTAATACATGAAATTATATTTAACCAGAAAACCCTGATATAGCCATTCTTCATAAAGAAATGCCAAATCAGTTAAAGTTTGATATGCCAAACCTCACTGTTTATATTAATAACACAGAATTTAAGTGTTTCTCTGGATTTGTTAGTACTGTTACATAAGAGAATAAAATAAGAAGTAATAGACAGGAAGTAGTGGCACATGTTTTTAATCTCAGCACTCAGGAGGCAGAGACAGGCAGATCTCTGAGTTCGAGGCCACTCTGGTCTACAGAGCAAGTTCAGGACAGCTAAGGCTACACAGAAAAACTTTGCCTTGAAAAAAATTTAAAATATAAAGCTCTTAAGTCTACATGTATCAAACACTCAATAATAAATGAAACCATAAAGTGACTAAAATAAATGTGTACAAAGATGTATGTATACATAACATACTTAGTATATCATTTTACTGTTGAACTATGAAAGCCATTTCTAAGTATGTTTAAAACCTGGAAGAGGGGCTGATGGGGTGGCTCTGTGATTAAAAGTGCTTTTTGTGCAATCCTCATAACCTGAATTTGATCCTGATGATTCAAGTTCAATTTCTAAATTCACATAAATGTGGAATGGGAGAACTGATTCCACAGCACAACTCTAACCATAATATACGTGTGTGTGTGTGTGTGTGTGTGTGTGTGTGTGTGCGTGCGTGCGTGCGTATATGCACACATACATAAAATAATAGATTTAAAACCCAGGAGGTATGTCACAAGAGATAACTGACACAAAAACAGGTGAGTATGTATATAAAGTGCTGGAAAGCATTAGACAGACTAAAAGGATTACTTTAAGAACCTTTATGAGTACAGGGTGGATAACTCTTGGATGCAGTGGTTAAGGCAGTAATGGTTGCTCCATCCAGTATTGAAAGACGTGTGCCCACTTACTCCTGAATGTAAATTAATAGAACCTTTTAGAAGGAAGTTGTAGCAAATTAATTGGTTTAATGCAAAGTTCTTTATGAAATAATTACTCAGAAGCTTCATAACAGACAAAGAAAAGGTACAAAATACATTTACTGTAGTATTGTTTCCAGGGTACCTGAGCATACAGCAGCAGAGGAATACACTACTTCACCAGTATGTTATAAAAACCATGTTTCATGTTCCTAAACTTGGGGAGGATGTGTAACATGTTGTTAACAGTGGGAGTAAAAACACCAAGGGGTGGGCTTGGTTACATCTCAGTAGTTAGAGCACTTAATATCCTACACATGTTAAGCCTGGAGCTTAATCTCTATTTTACATTTATGTTTGAATTTTTAATAGTTTATGATATTAAAGATAGCTTGTGTTTCTAAAAAAGACATTTATAATCAGTGCTTGCTAATTCCTGGGAATAGGACAAGGAGATGGTAAACATGATCAGTAAATAGTATTATTAGAAAGTAAATGCTATAGATGGAAGGAAATGGCTTCAAGGAGCCCTTTGAAAAAGGAGCTGAAGAGTCAGGAATTGTGCCATTCACTATGTTTAAACTGAATAAATGTTTGAAGTGTGTTTTAGGTTTTAGGAAGCACATGGTGAACCTTCTTTTCTTATAGATGTATATCTAAATTCTTAAAATTCATTTACAACTAATGGGATCTCTTAGAGTCCTCCTTTGAAAGGCTTAAGACTTCATACAAATAAATTTTTTAAAATTGCCTAATTGAATGCTAATTTCTGGACATAGTGCCTAATCTATAAAGTCAGATTTTCTGCAGTTGGATCCAAGGGAATTGCACCATGGCAGTTTGCAGGTAGGCTGTCCCAGGTCCACACACAAGAGTGACCCTAGTGCTTTATTCTTCCTAGCAACAGACACTCTTCTTGCTGCTTAGTTGTGATTCTGCAGATTCTTAGGCACAGGTGTTTGTGTCATGAACATGGCTTGTTTATTCTTCAGGCAAAGACAGTTACTTGTTTGATTCTCTTTAAAGGTATCATCAAATGGCATTCAGTCCACTCCTCTAAATCTTGCGACATACTGGAAATGTAGTGCCAGCACCACTGATTTGAGAGTAGATTATAAGTACAACCCAGAAGCTATGGTCGCACCGAGTGTGCTTTCCAACATACAGGTGGTGGTACCAGTGGATGGAGGAGTCACAAATATGCAGTCCCTTCCCCCTGCAATATGGTAAACTGTTTTTGCATTCCAGTTGCATTTCTGTTTGTCTTCAGCTGCAACAGTTTTAACCTCTTAAAGCTAACAATAATTGGTTAAGTGCTTGCCCTTGCAAATCTAACAACCTTAATTAAAAGGTTCCTGTGAACACATGTAAAGGAGCTCTTCTGACTCCTACATGTGCCAGTGGCAAGCACATTTCTATACATACGTAGAATTTAAAGAGCAATAATTATTATTTAATAAGGTTAAATATTGCACTTAGCCTATCTACAGGAATATCTGCTTAGTGTTCAGTAGTACTAGTTACTACCATTGCTAACCACCTCTTGTACCCCTTCTACCTCTGTTAGCACTATAATACAGATTCTGACAATTCTATACTTATCATTAAATACAATGTTTATTTTGACTAAGATACTGAGCCGCATATACACAGGCTTCTTTCCTCTGACCACTGGAAATGAAGGGAATCTTATAATTTGATAAACTTTCATTCGTTGAGAAAACTACAGCATTACATTTATTATGTATATGATATGTTTTCACTAGGTAATGCCATTTAAAGCCCACACTGTAGTTTTTATAATAAAAATACTTGAAGTATATTTATTGAGTGTCCATTTATGTATTAGATATTGTAAGAGACAGAATTTAAAGATACTTGTTCTTGACTGGAGAGATGGCTCAGCGGTTAAGAGCACTGGCTGTCCTTTACAGAGGGCTTGGGTTCAATTCCCAGCCCCTACATGGCAGCTCAAAACTGTCTATAAATGCAGGTCCAGGGGATCTGACACCTTCACAGCACTGTACACATTTAAAGATACTTGTTCTTATTACAGGAATGCAGAACAAATGAAAGCCTTTTGGAAATTATCTGGGATTTCGGAGAAATCAGACAGTGGAGGTAAGGGTGTGCTCCTCCTCATTCTCTGTACTGTGCTACTCTGCTTCCCCGGCCTTAGTTTTCTATTACGACATTACTATTGCTACCTTTATTAATTATCTGTGCGAGTGCACACAGACATGGTCAGAGGACAGCTTTTATCAATCAGTTCTCTTCCTTCCACACTGGGTCCTGAGGGTGAGACTCGGGTTTGAGGCATGGTGGCAAGAGCCTTTACTTGCTAGCCATCTTGGTTACTTTTTGTTTTTAAAGCCTGTACTTTGAAAGTTTCCTTCTGAAATTTCATGGCTTCAGTTCTAGGACTGACCACTAGGTGGAAGTTAATCCCGTATGTAAGAATGTACAAGCTGAGATTCAGAACACTTTTTACCCTTCCCTTAAATATGCTTTCTTTGAGGGAAAATTAACTATTATAATTTTATAACTGCAGGATAAGTGTTTTTTGTGTTTGCATAAGAGAAATACCTAGTGGTAGAATTTATTAAAAAACAGAATTATCCCTTGGTAGATAACTCAGGTAATTAATTGCACATGATTGAGCTTATTCTGTTCGTAGGGAGAACAGATGCTTTCTGTTAGAGCAGGTACCCAGATTTCCCTCCCCAGATGCATAGAGACCAGCTGTGTTGGCATGAAACTTGTCTACTCAGTCTAGCTGAGAGAACCTTTCTGTTCCTGTCAGAGTAAGCCAGTTCTTCAGTTCTGTGTGGCAGTTTTAAAGAGAGACAAGTTAATTGTCTTCTCCTACTGACTGAGTCTGTCTGTGTTCACCATATGGCTAGTTATCACTCCACTATCTCCTGATTTAGTCTGTAAAACTAGCTTACGGTTCCCAGTTAAGTCCCAGTTAAGTCTCTCTTCCTAGCTAGCCTGCATTAATTTTTCTTAATGAGTGAATGCTTTAGCTCTTCCAGTTTTGTTCAGCTTTTTGAACATTTTGAGCTTATCAATGGTTTCTCTCCTCCTTTATTGCTATATATAAAGGACTGTCAACAAATCTAGATTGTCTATTCTTGTATATCTGCTGTGCGGGAGCAGATTTGTACTAGAGAGCCACACCTGAGGTAAGGTGGCTGGCTTCTAGTTCTTTTTCGTTGTTTTAGTACTTCGTATTTTTAGTTGGTAGCTAGCTTCACTGACAGATTGTGAACCACATTGAAATTTCTAACTTAAAACTGGAAGTAAATCAGACATCCCGTGTATTAGGCTTACAGCCAGTTAGCAAGGAAAGAGAATATCTTGTTCCCTATTTAATAAAACATATGATAATTGTAAATATAACAGAAAAGGAATTTATTCTCTCAAAAACAAGATTCACATTTTATATCACATAGTACTTTCCTTCTGTTATTCAGGTATGAAAATGTCTGCTCTATTTGAGGAAATGGGAGAATTTTATGAATGTGGTTTTGATGTGGTCATTCAAACCAGATTCAAATGCTGTAAAAGAGAAATATGTTTTCTATTCTAACTCAATACCAGAAAGGGAACAGGCAGTAGTTGTAAAGCTTAAGGGTTGCTGGGTGACTGCTCCTCGGTGGTGCTGGTAGTGGAGCTTTCATAGAGCTGAGGTGTTGAGCAAGAGTGGACAAGCTTTCAGAACTGTGTGGACAATAGTTAAGAGTTAGGCAAAAGTTCTCCTCTCTGGTATGCATCCCCTGGCATGATAGCATAGGACAGACCAGTTACTGCATCTTGTTCAATATTTCTCTGTAGTGTTAAACTTTGTATATACAGGGGATGTCTTCTTGGTGCTATTGAGCAAGGCTGTCTACTTCCCCTGACACAATGGTTTTCGCCTTTCCTTTAATAGTTACTTCCTCATGCAGTGGTAACCTCCAACCATAAAATTATTTTTGTTGCTACTTCATAACTGTAATTTTGCTATATGCTTGCAGATATGCAAGATCCTTGGTATGTGATCCTGTGAAAGGGTCATTAACCCCCAAAAGGGTCTTGACTCACAGGTTGAGAACCCCTGCCCTAACCAGAAACCCAGGTTAAATTAGGTTCGAAATCCTCCTGGACTTCTCCTTTCTTTCCTTTTAAATATTGTGTTCTTTGCTTATGCTTTGGCTCTCCTTCAGAGCCCCTTTTCCCGTCACCTATAGCCCTAATACACTTTTATTGTCATGCCATTGGTCTCCTTACTTTGCATCTCGCCCCTCCCTTCTCTTGTAGGACACTAATCTGAGATGGTCCTGCCTGTCTTATCTTGGGTGTTTCCTTGTGGTTATGTCATAAACTTCTTATTGGGGCCTGGGCCTTGCTACTATTCTAGTTTCCTCTGCTGCTGTCCTCCCTTTGTGTCGTGTTCTCCAGATACTGCGGTGTGGATTTGATTCTCTTAAGCCTGCTCTCACAGGTCCTCTGTCTACATCCCAGTACCTGCCTAAAAGGCACACCATCATGCCCAGCAGTGTTAGACCTTTCAGCAGAAATGTATGTGTTCAGAGCATTATCAGATCAGTAGTGTCACTGATGCCCTCATTCTGCTGCAGTCAGACGGGGACATGTGAATAAACGCTTACAAAATATCTATGGGGTGATGTGATGTTGTGCTAGTAAAATCTGAAAAATAAGGGTGATGCAGCTGGCCAGTTAGCTCAGTTGTTTAGATTATGATGCTAATAAGACTAGTGAAAAATAGCGAGATTGATACCCTCCTCCTAATAGTAATAGCTGACTTTCCCTCTTACCTTGTTGGACTGCATCATCTGATATTATCACTCACTTCTCTTTACTTTGTCTTGTTGCCCCCCTGTCCCCCATCCCTTATGTCATGCCCCTGTATTCCCTATGTGCTGCTCTCATTCCTTACCTCATCCTTGTTAAGTCATTTTAACACATGCATACCATAGGCATCTATCTAATCAGTATACATTTCTGAACATTACTGTTAATTAAGAGAAAATAGTGATTGGAATTACTTCGTAGAAGTCCAAGCTCACTGAATAGGGTTTAATTTGAAAACAGGACAATGGTTTGTTTGCTCTGCACATCTCATGAATTTACCATTGGCTGAGGTAGTTTTGGTTAGATCAGCAGTTTTCAGCCTATGGGCTGCAATGGCCCTTTCCCAGGGGTCAGTTATCTGATATCTTGCATACCAGATGTTTACGTTACGATTTGTAACAAGTAGCAAAATTATAGTTATGAAGTAGCAGTGAAAATAATTTTATATTTGGGCATCACAACATGAGGAGCTGTTTCAAAGACTCATAGCATTAGGAGGGTTGAGAAGCACTGGCTTAGGTGCTCATTTAATTTTATTTGGTTTGCAATGTAGTTTACCTTTTATAAGTTTTGATTCTTTTCTTTGCAGGCTCTGGATCTCTCAGAGCAAAATTTGATCTTTCAGAAGGACCTAGCAAGCCCACAACACTTGCCGTGCAATTTCTTAGTGAGGGAAATACCCTCTCAGGAGTCGATATTGAGCTTGTTGGCACTGGCTATAGACTTTCTTTAGTAAAGAAGCGTTTTGCCACTGGTAAGTTGGGATATTTTGAATTCTGTAGTGTATGTCGGAAACACTTGTTCTCTAGCAGTTTATAATTTAAAAGCATGATTTTTTTTTTCCCCTTGCTATAACTGCAAGGTAAAGACAGTCTTGGTAGAGTTACCATGATCGGCATAGTGGACTATGTAATGTGGTTCTTATGCATTGTAAACAGCAGGTGGGATCTAGAGTTCTGTGTCTGTAATGAGAGCAATGTGGTCATTTAGTGTGTTTGAAACTAACAACGAAGGTCTGCTTGGTGTTTTTCAGGACGATACTTGGCGGATTGTTGATAGACCTAGAAAGCGGTTTTCTCAAGGGAACAGTGCAAACCTGCTACTGCATCACCTGTTCTTTCCAAACACTATCTTTACTTGTATGATGTCTTTCAAACTTCGTCTTTGAAAGCTGACTACAAACCTTAAATTGCACTTTTAAAGTGAGTCATTGAAAGAAAAAGCACTGAAATGACCTTGTACACAGTAATGATCAAACGCAATATTCAGGAAGCACATGTGTTCAAATTGTCACTAAAATGAAGTTTATTATCTTCAATATCTGTGTTTTTAAAAAGGTTAGAATGTAGTAACAAACCTAAAATTTCAGGAGAGCAAGCACAAAATTATTTAGCTTTCCATACGTATTTAGACTCAGAGATAGCTTTGAAGTTCCATAAGTTTGATATTGAATGAATATAAACAGAACGTGAATTTTAAGTTTTGAATGTTAACTCAGAGCTCAATCTAATTGAGTTATATGCCATAAGGTAATCAGACCAGAGTCCAAGTTGTATGCATAAAAAACCCTATAATCTGATTCTCATAAGCATATTAGTAAAGTGTAAATGGTGTTTTATATGATTTTTTAAAATTCTCAAGTGCAATGTGTTTTAAAATAAGCTTGCAAAGGACAGCAGAAAAACTTACTTCTGCAGTTGATTAACTTTATAGAAGTTGTGATTGTTGATGAATTAATGCTGTAGATTTAATTTATTTTTATATGGATTACATAATGTGTGCCTTTTAAAACAATAACAAAACCAGAAATGTGCCTCTAGTCTGTGTTAATTCATGTGCCTCACTTTTTTCTCACGCTGGATCTTGTATTCAGAATCATACAGTGGTCAAACATATTTAAAAGATATTTGCAATTTTTAAAATACCTTTGTGCTGTAATTGGAAAGAAAATTCAAAATAACCAAAAGATAATTTATACTTAAAAATCCTGGCTCATGTCCTTAATGACACACTGTGGCCACTAGAAAAACAAATAAGCCTAATGGAGTATGTTTACTGGAAATAAAATTATCTTCAGATATTCAGCATTGACCTCATAAGTAAGTGAAGTGAACAAGTGCTGACACTGGTGATAAATTGGTAACTGGTATTTTAACTCCTAATTTAGCATTTCCCTTGACTGTATTTATCAAAAAAAAAATTTACACAGTTACTATTGTGTTGTGAATATGAGTTTTCTAGCATTCTATGAGTTTTTCAAAAGATTGATTTTGGCAATGAGAGAAGTACTGTCACTTATGTTCAATTTAATGATTAGAAAATTGCCAAATTCCATATGGTAAGATTATTTGAAGTAAAGGATTGGGTTGTTTCTTAATGTGAACTGCTCATACTGAGTAGTTACTTTATACTACAATTCTGGTTGACAAAAGAAATAAAATGTTTTAGACAAAGGTTCATAACTTACAAGTGGAAATTTATAATAAATTTTTCATAAAAGTGATAGTTTGTGTTATATTTGATAATTTATATAAACCACTAATTATTTTGTTAAGCTTTACAAAAGATAAAACCCCTATTACTAGACACTAAAATATCGTCTTGCTCTACTAAACACAGCAGAGAATCTATTCTTCCACAGTATGTAATACAAAATAGGTATTTTTATATATTCATTGTTACTCCAGTTCTAAATTTAGGTTTGACTTAAGCAAACATAAGGCAATTTATTGTATGTTAGTCTTTACTAACTAGCAAAATTAGAATTTCTAACTCAAGTTCTTTTAAATGCCACTTACAATTACCCTTACTAAAATATTGACTAAATTTGCTTTTATTGGACAGCTAATGCTTTACTGTTTGAATTCTGACACTGCTAAATTCACAATGTCTGTTTTTAATCAGGTATTACCTTATGTTGAAATGAGTGGAATGGCTAACCTTGTGCACTTTCTTATCCCCATAGCCTTCATACCTAGTGTTGACATGCAAGTTTGTATTGGGTACAGGTTACAGTTTTAAAGCCATATGAGTTTATAGGGATTTTCTTTTTTCACCTAAAAGTTCACTAATGTTGTTTTTCAGACACCCAGTAGATTTCAGTGAGAGACTATCTAGCAAGCTGGTTCTTGCTGTGTACAGTGATGACTTTGTAGCTGCTTCTTTAACCAGGAATTTGTAAACAAACTCTTAACAAGTTTGGCTTTTAAGGAGTGTTATTTACTACTTTGGGTTGTAATTTCAGCACATCTATCTTCCAAAATTTTGTAAATATTTTCGATTTTTTTCATAAAATGTAAATTTTACATAAAAGTTGTATCCCTAATAAACATGTAATATATACTTTAGCAGTTGATTTTATGTGTCTTTGTATCCCTGTTAATAGATAATGTTATGGATAGGACAGTCAAGCTGAGGAAGGAATGAGCAATTGACTTTAAACTTTATTAGAATGATGTTTCCTTTTTTGGTAGTAGGGGTTGAACCCAGGGCCTGGCGGGTGCTAGGCAAACACTCAACACTTAGCTGGAGTCCCAGAAGGTTTTGAGCTTTAGATCACCATTTTTGCTAGCATACAGATTGAACTACTTAAAGTTTTATTTGGTCATAGAAAACGTGGTTTAGTATATATCTCTAATTATCAAGTGTTTAATAATGAATTATTTTTAGCATATTTACAAATATTTAAATTGATTATGAATTTTAGTAAAGGCTTTTCTTCTTGACCAGTTTTGTAGGAACAGTTGTATATAATTTAAAATCATGATGAGGCCTGAGAGGTGGCTCATCTAGGAAAGGTGCTTGTCATCAAATTGACCTGAGTTCAATTTCCAGAACCACACAATGAAAAGAGGGAACTGACTCCCTCATGCCCTCCTCTGACCTCCGCACACGCACAGTAAGATAGCAAGTAAGTAAATGTAGTTTTAAAAAATCATGTCAGAAGTTAGAACATCCAGTCTGAAAAACAAAACCAAAAAAGCCAAACCAGCGAATTTAGGAAGAAACAAAAGAGTAAAATGAGAAAAGAAAAAAAATTATATTAAATGGTGACAATTTTGTCAACTGTGTCATAAAATCAAGTAGTATAATTATTTAGGTTTGGTTGGGAAGCCTGTAGCAATCACAGCACACATCCCGTGGGTGGTCTCTCCATGTCTACTCCCAGCTCTACTAGACAAGTCTGAGAGTTGTGATGCCCTACAGTCTGAGGTAGAACCCATCTCAAAGTCCTAAGTAAAGGAAATATCTGCTTATACAGTAATTGAGGAACTCGAGGCCCCTTCCATTTCATGATTCTGCTAAAAGTATTTTGGCCACCAGATGGGAAAAAAGCAAAGTCTTCATTAGGTTTTTTATGGGTCAGGCCTAGATGTGGGATCATCTGCTCCACCCATTGCCCAGGAGGTAGGCTTTGGTCTTACAGCTGCAGTTGACTCCAAGAAGAGAGAAGAAATGAAGTATCCCTGTGTGCCCATGAGACAGACACCAAACTAGCTTCAGATAACAGTCCTCTGCTACTTACCATGTCCCTTGTCCATTTTATTAATTTTCCTGACCCTTCCCCCAAACATGCATTTGATACAGTCTTTGGCTTTCCATAAATTCTTGCTTTATATTGATGAATATCCTCATTTTTATGTATCTTAGTTTTTCTATACTCTCTCTTTTAAAATGACATTTGTGTGTGTGTGTGTGTGTACTATATTGTGTGTGTGGCTGTTGAATTAGGAGCGGCAGGGCTGCGTCCCCGGCACCCGGCCGCCCGCATGGCTAGTTTATACCCAGAAATAATTACACGGAAACTGTATTCTTTCAAACACTGTCTGGCCCGGCTAGTTCCAGTTTCTTATTGGTTAGTTCTTACATATTGTTCTAACCCATTTCTAATATTCTGTGTAGCCCACGAGCTGGCTTACCAGGGAGGATCTTAACCTG